TGCCAGTGACCCCTACTCCAAATGGATCCCCGTAATTTTATTTTTTTTCTCCTATTTTCTATCTTCCCTTTCCTGGAAAGTACTAACCTGCCTGCCTGTATCCTAGGAACCAAGTGACTTGGTCCAGGAGCTGACCATTCAGCTAGTAAACTTCCACTGAGTTGGCCTGTTTTCAGGACAATACTTTCATATTTGAGTGTCAGGTGCCCTCTCTAGAATCTCTCTTTTGAGCCTCTCCAGTTTTGCTTTGGTGGGGAAGATCATTTCTGGATGTGGGCAGAGGGGGCTTTAAGAAAGACTCAACTTTAGCAGGACCTGGTGTCTTCGATTGCTGCACTATCCTGAGACTCTGGCATGTAAATCATACTGCTCCTGGCCTGTCTTCACTGCTGCCTTAGGTTTTGGCACTCCGTTCTAAGTTATTTGCCACTTATTCATATGTTTTTGTTGCTGTCATCTGTTCACCTGTTCTTTGTTCCCACGGGTTTGTCTTTTATCTCTACACTTTATTTTTTTCCCAGCTTTATTGAAATATAACATTTATATTTACATATTTACATTGTGTAGTTGACATAAAATATATTAGTTTCAGTTGTACAGCATAATGATTAGCAATCTATATAACTCACAGAGTGATAACCCCACTAAATCTAGTATCCCTCTTCCCCTTACATATTTATTACAACACTGTTGACTATTTTCCTTATGCTACACTTTATATCTCCATGACTATTTTGTAACTATCCATTTGCCCTTTTACACCATCCCACCAACCTCCTCCCATCTAGTAGCCCTCAAAATATTCTCTATATCTATGAGTTTGTTTCTGTTTTTTGTTGTTGTTGTTTATTTTGATCTTTAGATTTCACCTGTACATGAAATAATGTAGAATTTGTCTTTCTATCTGATTTACTTCATTCAGCACAATACTCTATACGTCCATTAAGGCAATACCTGTTTCCATCCTGTTCCCTTTAGTCTGTGTGTGTCTTTTAATCTGAAGTGAGTCTCTTGTAGGCAGCATATGTAGGGGTCTTGTTTTCTTATCCATTCAGCCACTCTGTCTTGTGATTGGAGCTCTTAATTCTTTTCAATTTGAGGTACTTGTTGATAGATCTGTAGTTATTACTAGTCTTTATTCATGTTTTTGATACATGTTATTTTTTTCTTAAAGAAGTCCCTCCAACATTTCCTATAATACAGGCTTGGTGTTGATGAATTTCTTTAGCTTATTTTTGTCTGGGAAGCTCTTTCTCTGTCCTTCGACTCTAAATGATAGTTTTGCTGGATAAAGTATTCTTGGTTGTAGATCCTGGGTTTTCATCACTTTGAATATTTCATGCCAAGCCCTTCTGTCCTGCAAAGTTTCTTTTGAGAAATCAGCTGCCAGTCTTATGGGGCTCCCTTGTAGGTAACTAACTGCTTTTCTCTTGCTACTTTTAAGATTCTTTCTTTGTCTTTAACCTTTGGGATTTTAATTATGATGTGCCTTGGTGTGGGTCTCTTTGGGTTCATCTTTTTTAGAACTCAACTTCCTGGAATTGTAAGTCTTTTTTCTTCACCAGGTTAGGGAAGTTTTCCTTGGTTATTTCTTTATACAGGTTTTCAACTTCTTGTTCTCCCTCTTCTCCTCAGGTACCCCTATGACATGGATGATTTTACATCATTTTTGTCCCATAGGCTCCTTAAATAATTATTATATTCTTGGGTTTTTTTCCTTGCCATTCGGATTGCGCATCCTCTATATCTGTGGTTTGATCCTCTTCTTCATCCACTTTCCTCTTGGTACACTCTTCATCTCAGATAATGTATTTTTCATTTCTGACTGGTTCCTTTTTATAATTTCCATTTCCATTTTTATGTTTTTTATCTCTTTGTTAAAGTTCTCACTGAGTTTATCTACACTTCCCTTAAGTTCATTGAGCATCTTTATAACCAAGGTCTTGAACTCTGTGTCTGTTAGATGACTTGACTCAGTTTTTCCTGGATCTCTGTCCTGTTGTTTCATATGGTTTCTACTTCTTTGTCTTCCCATTTTGGCTGCCTTTCTGTGTCTGTTTCTATGTACTAAGCAAAGCTCCTAAGTCTCCTGGTCTTATTAGTACGGCTTTGTGTAGTAGGTGTCCAGTGGCACAGTCCTGAGAGGGGTTCAGCTGCAGGCAAGTTTAGCCTCAGCCTGTGTCCCTCTGGGGCCACCTGTTAAGATTCAGCAAGCAATCCACGAATGCTGTGCTTATAGTTGCCTCAGGAAGCCATGCCAGAAACGGAGGCCAGCTTTCATCAGTGTGAGTGTTGGAGGTGCTCAGCAAGGAGCACCTGACTTGCCAAGGACACACCTGGATGTGGCTTGAGTGGGGTCATGAGTTCAAGGAGGCGGAGCTTCAGGGAATCCTCTGGGCGGAGTGACCTCTGTTATCCAGACTGGTGAAGTCTCAGCTATGGCAGCCATGTGTTTGCACACTGGGAGTGGGAGGGCTCAACAGAGGAACAATGGATACTGCCTGAACTTCTGCCAGGGAGAAAGCCTTGCCTCTGGCCCTCGCTCCAACAACTCAGTGTCTCCCTGTAAATTTCTGGTGCCCCCCAGAGCAGCAGACCCAGTGCTAGTGCTCAGAATGAGCGAGTCCATTACCGTGAGAGTCCTCTAGTGGACACGGCCCCTTTAAGAGGAGTGTCTGCAGCTGCCGTAGCCTCTGTCCCACTCAGCCACTTGGGACTGAGCAGCCTCGTGTCTTCGCCCCCTCCTACCTCCTACTGTTGCAGGGTGATTTCTTATTTCTCTCCCTAGTTTTAGAGCTTCTGTTCATCTAGACCCCAGGTGACTCTGCTTGCTGATTGCTCTTCATTTCCATTACACCTTTGATGTGGTCATAAGAACAGATGAACAAAGCCTCCATCATCTATGCCATTTTGCCCAGTCTCTTATACTTTATTTTTTTAATTATGAAATGTGTCATACCCATAGAATAATGCATAGAATTTATGAGTATAGCTTAGAGATTAATAAAATAAATTCTTGTGCTTCTAGTTCCTGGGTTAAGAAATAGTATTACAAACGACTGAGAAGTCCTTGGGTGCACTACGTGCTATCCCTGGAGGGAGCCATTCTCTGACATTTGGTGTTAATTCCTCTGCTTTATTAATGTCTATATCCCTACACAATATGTTTTTAGTTTTAAAAAATGAAGTAGGAAGTACATATCTAGCTATGTAAGGAAATTGCCTCTTAGATGAAGGTTTCTAGAAGATAAGCTATACAGTCTTTGTGGGTCATTGTTGTAGATTGAATTGTGTCCCACAAAAGGATATATTGAAGTCCTAACCCCTAGTACCCACAAATGTGACATTATTCGGAAAAAACCTCTTGCAGATATAATTAGTTAAGACGAGGTCATACTGAAAATGGGTGGGCCCTTAATGCAGTATGACCAGTACCCTTTCAGAGAGAAGAGACACAGAGACAGATACACAGGGAGAATGCCATGTGATGACCAAGACAGAGTGATGCGTCTGCAAGCCAAGAAACACCAACGATTGCCAGCAGCCCCAGAAGCCAAGAGAAAGGCCTGGGATAAATTATCCCCCAGAGCATTCAGAGACAGCATGGCACCTTGATTTTTGACTTCTAGCCTCTAGAACTGTGAGGGAATAAATTTCTGTTGTTTTAAGTCACTCAGTTTGTGGAATGTTGACATATCAGCCCCAGGAAATTGATATAGTCATGTTTTGGCTGCAACTTTCATGAGCCCCTCCTGGAGAAGTCAGTGGTCAAGGTCATTAGAGAGTCCTAGGAAACATAAGGCTTACCACTGTCTGAGCATCAGGTCAGGCTGCAATGTATGCCAGGCAGTGTGGCAGGAGTCTGAGCTGGGGAATGGGGTTCACTATATTTCCTGACTCTGGGCTAACATGCTTCCCTCCAGCTTGCTGGAGGCCAGAGCAGTTATTTGTAGGGGGAGTGTCCTCAGCTGATAACAGCAAGCAGGCATGGAGGGAGTCCCTCCAGCTTGCTGGAGGCCAGAGCAGTTATTTGTGGGGGTAGTGTCCTCAGCTGATACAGCAAGCAGGCATGGAGGGAGTAGAGTGTCAGAGTACATGGTGAATGAAGCCAAGCAGGGCACAGGTGAGACTCCGGGCCACAACTTCTTAGGGTTAAAAGATGGTACAGTGATGACAAGGATGATAGCTTCAGTGTGTCTGCCCCTTGTGTCACACTTGTCACTCTACTGGCTGCCCTTTGTTTATGATACTCAGTGGTGTTGCGATCACCCCTCACTGGAGATATATTTGCCCCCCTCTGTATTGACTCTCCTGTTTCCTGGGACCCATCTTTACTTTTTATAGGTTTACTTTCTGTTTTGATAGAGCACATCCTTAGTAGCTTCCTGAGGAAAGCTGCCTGGGAAGTAAAATTTGGGACTTTCCATATCTGAAAAGGCTTTGAACTTAAAGCCAGAATCCTAAGCCAGCATTGGTTAAAGCTGAGAGCCAATTTGACAACAGTACTGGAAGCAAATAGATAATGGAGCAGTGCTTTTAAATTCTGAGGGAAAATGAGGTCGAACCTGGAATTCTATACACAGCCCCATTGTGTAGGTGAGTCCTCTGGAAGATCTGCAGTGTTTCTTCCTTGAGGTCTCTCTTATCACAGTCCCCACAGAGGAGTGTTCCAGTCTCAGAACCCTGGTTGCCACGTGGGGAAAGGGGAACTTGGCCTTTAGCTTGTACAGTGCTCACACATCAGTGCTATGTGAGCTACCCTATCCAGAGCCCCAGTTAACGTTTCCTCTGAGAGATCAGATCTCTGGACTTCAGCAGCAGGGAGTCGAGGTGGAAGTTGGGGATCTTAATGCTTTGCACACAGCTTTTACCTGTCTTTGAGTGAGCATGTGCCCCTCAGCTGTGACAGTCATAAGTGCTTCTGAGTTCTTCCTCCCCAGTTAAGGAGGACAGGATGGCTAGAGGGAGCTGCAGTTGGTTAGACTCTGATAAAACCCCAGTGTGCTCACTTCGGCAGCATAAAATACGAAAATTGGAAAGACACAGAGATTAGCATGGCCTCTGTGCAATGGTGATAATACAAATCTGTGAAGCCTTCCAAGTCAGACGAGGACAAATACTGTGTGATCTCGCTTATATGAGGAATTAAAAAACTCATAGAAAAAAATCAGATTTGTGGTTACCAGTGGTGGGAGATGGCGGGAAGAGAATTGGAGGAAGGTGGTCAAAAGGTATAGACTTCCAGGTGTAAGATAAATAAATCCTAGGAATGTGACGTGCAGCATGATGACTGCAGCTAACACTGCTGAGTGGTGTATAGGAAGTTGTTAACAGAATAAATCTTAAGAGTTCTTATCACCAGGAGAAATATTTTTTCCTTCTATTTTTTTAATTGTATTGATGTGAGAAGATGGATGTTAGCCGAACCTATTGTGGTAATAATTTCACAATGAATATATATCAAACTGTCATGCCGTACACCTTAATCTTATGCAGTGATATGTGTCAGTTGTTTCTCAATAAAATTGGGGGAAAAAGGTTTCTAATAAGCTATTTAAAAAAAAACCAAAAGATTAGGCTCTAGCAAAATGGTTTCTCTTGAAGGCAGGTCTTGTTAAAAAGAATACGCTGTACTGTGTTGTACTTCAAAATGGCTACTTTCCCCTTCCCCTTGTCAGAGGCATGGGGGGATTTTTCTTTCATCCTTAGGAAAACCTGGTAGAGGTCTTGAAAGTAAAACTCACGAAAATATGGGACCCCTCCTACCGCCAGAGATTTTTCTCTCTAATTTGTCCAGGAGTTTGTCAGTTGCAGTTTGGGTTTTTTACCCGGCACTTGTTTCCAGAGCTTTCTGTTCATGGGTTTTTGTTCCGATAAGTTATGATTCTCTGTATGTGCCTGTCCATCTCCAATTTGGGGGCAGTGGTTTGCCCTGTGATCTCAAGTCTCTGATTGAAGAAAAGTTGTTAGGATGCAGTGATGACTTCCAGTCCCTTTATATACCAGACTGGAATCTGGAAGTCCTTTTATATGCTGCTTTAATCTAGGAAATTCTTCATCATTGCTTCTTTAAATATATTCCTCCTTTACTTTTTTCCTCGCCTTCTGGACTCCTAATATAGATGTTGACACCATTACTTCTTTATTTCTTCCTTTGCCTTTTTGAAGAGACACTCAACCTGTCTCTAATAACATCATTCATCGAGTGCTTTACTTCTGTGATCATGCATTTAATATCTGATAATGATGTAGAGATGCTTCATAACTACTCATTCCTGTTTCCAGGCTCCTTCATTACTTTGGAACCTATTTATTATGCTTTTTAAAAACAGCTTTATTGAGATACAATTTCTATACCATATAATTCACTCATTTAAAGTGTACAATTCAGTGGTTTCTAATATATTCACAGAATTGTGTAACTGTCACCATAATCACCATTTCATCATCCTTAAAAGAAACCCTCAACTCTAGCCGTCTAATCTCCCACACCTAGCCCCCATTAATCTACTCTCTGTCTCTATAGATTTGCCTATTCTGGACATCTTATGAAATAGAATCACATAATATGTGATATTTTCTGACTGCTTTCTTTCACTTAGCATAATGTTTTCAAGATTCATCCATGTTGGAGCATATGTTAGTACTTGATTTCTTTTTATGGCTAAATAATATCCCATGATATGGATATACCACACTTTATCCATTCATCAGTTGATGGACATTGGGTTGTTTGCAGCTTTTGGCTATTATGAATTATGCTGCTGTGAACATTTGTGTACAAGTTTTTGTGTGTACATGTTTTCATTTTTCTTGGGTGTATACCTAGAGTGGAATTTCTCAGCTTAATGGTAACAACATGTTTAACTTTTTGAAGAACTGCCAGACAGTTTTCCAAAATGGCTGCACTATCTTATATTACCACCAGTGCTGTATGAAGATTCTGAATTCTCTATACATCTTTACCAATACTTACTACCTGTCTTTTTGATTACAGCCATCTTAGTGGGTATCAAGTGATATCTCATTGTAGTTTTGATTTGCATTTTCCCGATGACTAGTTATTGTGCTTTTTAAAAATTATTTTCTGTCTGGTAAATTATTTCTGCAAATTTTTCAGTACAGTTTGTTTACTCGGTTGTCTTTTGTTTTGCACTCCTTATTTACCTCTTGATTTTTTCCCCTGTGAATGCATATTCCCTTAATGTTATAAGTTGCCTTTGTTGGCAATATACACCTGGAGGGACAGGCAAAAGCCTGGTTCCTGCCTTGTCACCTTCTTGGCAACTTTTATAAAATGAGAGGCTCTTGGCTCAACCACTTCCCATCATCACCTTTACCATGATCAGGCAACCACTTCCCATCCTCACTTTCTCCACAATCAGGCGACCACTTCTCATCCTCACCTTTTTCATAATTAGGCAACCTTACCTCACAGAACCTCCTTGGACATCTGGCCCCTATGCTCCTTTTTATCTCCCTCTGCTCTTAATGCTTGGATTATGGAATACTCAGGGGCTGTCTTGAGGGTGTCTGCCCTCTACCTCAAGAAGGCTCTAGCACTGCTCTGATATCATCCCTCTAATTGATACTTGGTGGCAGAGTTGCTTGACAGAGATCTATCCAGAGCAGAGGAAGTAGCCTAACTAGGAAGCTTCCCCATCATGGTGAGCCTTTTTCTCTGTACCCGGTTACCTTTGATCTCGTTTGGGCTTTCTCACAGCTTTTGTGTTCAATCTTCTCTCTCACTTTTTGGCATCTCCCAGATTGGGTTTGGGGAAGGGACACAGCGGCCCACCTAGATCTCCATTTTGTTTAGAACCAGAAGTTTGAAGAAGCTCATTTAACATTTTCTGAAGTTATTTGACTTTGAGATGCTTTTTTCTCACCATTTTGTCATTTAACTAACCTAAGTTGAGTACTTCATATGTGCTGAGCACAATTCTATCTGGTGATACTGCAGTGAATTAAGACAGATAAAGTCCCCCCACACCTCCTTTATGGAGCTGCCATCTGTGAGCAAGGAGATGGCAGTACTAATACCCTAAACAAACAGGATCACTTCCTACAAGGTGAGTGCTGTGGAGGAGCAGAGGGCAGTGGCACCACTTTGGATGGGGTAGTTAAGGACAGCCTTTCTGTGGAGGTAACACTTAAACCAAGTCCTGATCCACAAGGAGGAGCCAGGCTGAGGAAGGTTCAGGGCAGAGGCCCAGGCTCAGGACCTAAGGCAAGAGTCAGTTTGGTGTGTGGACCTGAAACAGTGATGCCAGAGGAAGGGGGTAAGTGGAGATGAGGCCACAGGTGTAATAAAGGCCAGATCCTGCAGGTCAGACAAGGAGTTTGAATTGTATTATGAACACAGTGGGAAGCCACATAGACATTTCCATCAAATTTATTAGGATTTGAAAGAAGAATCTGGCTATCGAGAATGGATGATGGGGTAAAAATGGCAGGCAGCAGGGAGACTAATAGGAGGTAGTAACAGTGGTCCAGACAGTAGTTGAGGGTGGTTTAGACTTAGGAGAAAGCAGTGAAGATGGAAAGAAGTTGGGATAGTGTGTAACGTCTATAGAGTTCCGTAGAACTCATCTTGAGACATTAACCAGATAGTCTTTCCTGGTCTATTGGTTCAATGGCTGGTGTTTTGGTTATCTGTTGCTGCATTGCAAACCATCCCAAAATTACTATTTAATATTTCTTCTGATTCTGTGGGTTGACCAAGCTGACCCGGGTGGTTCTTTTGTGGCTGCATTCAGCTGGGAGCAGGGTCAAGACTGGAATGAACAGGATGGCTTCTCTTCCTCCAGAGCCTGTCTCTGTGTGACCTCTAGTCACTCAGTGGTCCAGCCTGGACACCATGGCCGCTGAACTCAAAAGTGGGAAAAAGTGGAAGCTGCCAGTTCTCTTAAGGCCTGGGATCAAAAGTCCCAGAGTGTTGCCTCTGCCACTTTCTGATGGTCAGAGCCTGTCACAGGCCCACCCAGATTCAAGAAGGGAAATTGACTCTGCATTTCGATCCGAGAAGCCACGTGTACCTAGACAGATGTGGGAACAAGTATGGAGTCAAGTTTGGAAACTATATACCACAGCTTTCAATTTTACTCTGAAACTTATTTGAAAGTCCTGGAAGAATTTCAAAGTTGACCTTTGAAAGTTTTGTTGTCCAGTTTGGGAAAGTAATGAGAGCAAATTATAAAAGAAGGAATTTTTGCTCTTCTTCCAACAAAGTTATTTCTAGGCTAGGAGCAAACTGATTCTATAAAAACAACTCAAGTTACTAAACTTTATCCAGCTTTTGGCAAACTACTTTATAAATGTGCCTTTTAATCTTCCATCTGAGCTCTTTGCTATAAAACCTTAATTGCACATGTTCTGTTACTACATGACTGAGGGCCCTGGAGCAGCACTCACTGAGCAGCAGATCTCTCCAGTTGGGCTCCCGAGGTGAAACCCACCATTTCAGTTAGGAAACCTGCCTAAGGAGCAAAGACCACATCCTCACTGAATCTCTAGCAGGGCCTCTCCACTATCGTGATTTGTTTTAAGAATGATCATCTACATCAGTCCTACCTTTGTCAAATTTACTCATTTCAATAAAGACATATTTTAATAAATCCATATACAATTACACCAAAAATGGGCCCCCATGGCTGTGTGCATAACAAACTACTCATAAAACATGACCCATGTTACCTATATGCCACCTAGTGACGGTTAATATTTGATGAATGGACTGATGGTGTACTATAGACAAAGTGAAACCTAGAGAAGCTGTAAATTCAGTACTCAATCAAATATTTAAATGGTTTTAAACATTTTAAAATAAACATTTTTAAATTATTTTGATTTTAAACTGTTAAAACCATGATTAGTTTTGCATATCTAATTTTATGCAAAGTTACCTATGAAATTTTGTTCAAACTTGAGCTTTCCAAATACATGATGTAAAAAGACCTTTCTGACACATAAAATGTCATGAGTACTAATTATCTGTGGAAATTAAACCAATCCTTTGAGTAATTTTATTTTTGTATGAACAATGTTTCATTCTCATAGACTGCCTTGCCATCCAGGAAAGGATTTCGGCACCAAACCACCAAGTTT